ATTAAGGGATAATATTCAAGAATTCCTTGAGAAGAACATGGTTATCAGTAAAAATCAGCACGGTTTTATGAAGCACAGGTCATGCCAAACTAACTTGATTGCGTTCTACGAAGAAGTAAGTAGAAGTACAGATCAGGGTGTTGCAGTGGATGTGATCTATTTGGATTTTGCCAAGGCATTTGATACAGTTCCACACAATAGATTAGTGCTCAAATGCTTGTTCTTGGGTAGAACATTGGCTTAAAAAGAGAGTACAAAGAGTTGTCATTAATGGTAAATTTTCAAGCTGGACAGAGGTAGCAAGTGGTGTCCCTCAGGGGTCTGTTCTGGGACCCCTTCTATTTAACATATTTATAAATGATCTTGAAGACAGCATTGAAAGTCATGTTTCAGTGTTTGCAGATGACACAAAACTTTGTAAAATAACACAATGTGAGCAAGATAATACTTTGCTGCAGAGGGATTTAGATAGACTGGGGGACTGGGCACTCAAATGGAAGATGAAATTTAATGTTGAAAAATGCAAAGTTATGCACTTCGGCGTAAAGAATACACAAGCAACGTATACCCTTAATGGAAGCGAATTAGGGATAAAAACATGAAAAGGACTTGGGAATTGTTATAGACAACAAACTGTGCAACAATGTGCAATGTCAATCAGCAGTGGCCAAGGCCAGTAAGGTATTGTCATGCATGAAAAAGGGCATTCATTCTCGGGACAAGAATATAATTTTGCCTCTTTATAAATCACTGGTAAGACCACATATTGAATATGCTGTGAAATTTTGGGCACTTGTTCTAAAGAAGGATATTATGGCACTAGAAAAAGTGCAGAGGGGGGGCTACAAAATTAATAAAAGTAATGGAACACATCAGCTATGAAGAAAGGTTAACAAATTTAAACCTATATAGTTTAGAAAAATGTCGCCTGAGAGGGGATTGTTGGGGATAAAATCAGCCCAGGCCCTTTGTGGATGATGGATATTTGCCAACTCATCCAGAGCTCTGGAAATTGGAAATGAATAGCAGAGATGTGTTCAATAACCAATTCAAATTTTATTCCTCCGTCAGTTATATTAATACTCCCTTTTCATAGCAGGATGCGAGGGGGAAAAATGAGTATATGGGCGTGACAATGACATTGTTTTTCACAAGTTATGAGCAGCTGTTTCTTATTCTACGTTATATAACGCATGTATATTTGATCAAAACAAGATATTTACAAATACCAAAATCTTGGACAATTAACAAGAACATTTCAAAATCACTATGATCATTCTTGTAACTGATATTAGATAAATTCTTCCCAGAATCGAAGATACAATTCCAAATGTATTCTTTGTTCACATTAACCCTTATATGAACAGCTAGGATAGATAGTGAAATGGATATTCATATCTATAGGGATATGATAACATTATACAAATATATTCGGGGCCAATACAAACCATTGTGTGGAAATCTATTCACAAACCGGACTTTACATAGGACACGAGGCCATGCGTTTAGACTGGAAGAAAGAAGATTTCGATTAAGGCAAAGGAAAGTTGTTTTTTTTACTGTAAGAACAATCAGGATGTGGAATTCTCTGCCTGAAGAAGTGGTTTTATCAGAGTCCATACAGATGTTCAAACAGCTACTAGATGCATACTTGCAAAAACAGACTATTCAAGGATATAATATTTCAATGTAGGGTAATAACTGCTTGATCCGAGGATAAATCTGACTGTCATTCTGGGGTCAAGAAGGAATTTTTTTCCTAGCTTGTTGCAAAATTGTGCTTCAAACTGGGTTTTTTGCCTTCGTTTGGATCAACAGCAAAAAACAAATGTGAGGAAGGCTGAACTTGATGGACGCAAGTCTCTTTTCAGCTATGTAACTATGTAAGAGCTCTCACATCAGAGTACTCTGATTTTGACTGTTAGCTTTCAGATAGCTCAGTGTGCACAGAGGATTCAATGGGCGAACATGTATTTAAGTTTCATATGTTGTAGATATTTTACTATTTCGATATTTTTTTCTTATTTGAATTGTTGTTATATGATATTGTGTTTTTTTATTTGTTTTTTTGGGGGGATGAATATAAAACATTTTAATAAAATACACAGATCTAATGGTAAGAATAATTTTTATATTAGGAATTTAGTTTATTTGGTCCCCTCTGCACAATTAGGGTAAAAGGGGGTAGATAAGGTATTTTAATTGAGGTGGGTGGCTAGGGGCTTGTGATAGAATTTACTTTGATTCCAAGGTTCAAGCTTATAGGTGTCATATTAGATATCCTATATTAAAATTGGCTAACTTAGACTGAGGAAATGCTTAATGCTTGAAACGACACTTAAGACCATATATGTCTAGTTCCGGGAGCAGATAGCCCCCACCTGAGCCGTCTCTTCTAAATCAGTCTGTTGTTTCTCTTTCTCTGAACTTATCTGTTATATGTACATGATGTTCATCCCTATGTCTTATCTGTACTCCTTTCACCCTTTCACTCCCTTCCTACTACTGTCCTAAGAGTATTTGCACGTAAGCACTTACTTTTTAATGTATAAAAACACAACTAACAAAATAAAGGGCAGAGGCTTATTTTGAATACCAACAGGTGTCTGGTGTCTGAATTCACGCTCCTCCAAGTACACTTGAAATAATAACAATTTGGGCTCCCTTGAATATACCAAAGATCACATTGGATCTATATCAATTTTGGTGCCCAAACCCGGGAGCCCAGATTGTAATTATTTCAAGTGCACTTGGAGGAGCGTGAATTCAGACACCAGACACCTGTTGGTATTCAAAATAAGCCTCTGCCCTTTATTTTGTCAGTTGTGTATCCACGTGGATTTTCCTTCTAGTTTCACTGAGGTAGCTGTAGTCAGGAGCACTTGGAATGGACCATCAAAGCGTGGTTCAAGTCCTTTCCTCACAGGCCTCTTTATCACCACCCAATCCTGAGGCTGCAGTTTGTGAGTTGCAGATTCAGAGTCTGGATCTGGAATGGAATCAAAGACTTGTTTATGCACCCTGCTTAATCTTTGGTGTAGGACCTGTACATAGGCAGTCATACTACCATGCTGCATCTGGTGGGTCTGGGGAAAATAGAGGCCTGTCTTTTTTGGCACATCCAAACAGGATCTCAAAACGGCATAGGCCATGTCTAGAATTGGGTGTGAATCTCATAGAAGAGAGTGCTAGGGAAAGGCATTCAGTCCAGGGCTTCCCTGTGTCTTGCATGGCTTTTGCAATCTTGTTCTTTAAGGTGCCATTTGCCCTTTCTACTTTCCCACTACTCTGGGGGCGATGGGGGTTGTAGAAGGCCTGACTGATCCCTAAGGCTTTCGTAATTTCTTGCATTATTTCCCCAGTGAAATGGCTACCTCTGTCACTTTCAATCACTTCAGGTACTCCGTATCTACATACCAGTTCCTTCAGAAGCTTACTTGCTACCCAGTGTTGTGGCTTTCAACACTGGGTAGGCCTCAGGCCAAACTGAAAAGAGATCAATGCACACCAACACATATTCAAACACTCCTACCTTAGGCAGTTGAATATAGTCTATCTGCAGTGTTTGAAACGGGTTACAGTGGCCTTGGTGTATGCTTACTTGGTGTTTTGACAGCCTGTCCTGGATTGTGTCTAGCACAGAATCATGCAAGCTTGGGTGTGTTTAGCTGCTGCAACATTAAATGCGGGTGCTACCCAATGGGTGTTTACTATGCGGTTCATGTGATCTTGGATAGATGTGTAGGTCCATGGGCAAACAGACTCGTAGCAAACACAGTTTTTTACCTTTCCTCCACATTCTGTCATCATCAGGTTCTGTATCTTGTTTCCTCCAGAGGTCATGTTCTTCCTTGCTTGCCTGTCTTTGTAAGCTCAGCAGTATATTGTAGTTAACGGCGTCATCTGTGAGAACAACTTGCAGGAAATATTACCTGTAGAAGGATGTACTTGAATTGCTGCTTGCTTGGCAGCTTCGTCTGCTTTGTGGCTTCCCCTTGTAATGTCATCTGTGATCTTCACGTGAGCTGCCACCTTGATGATGCCTACTTGAGTGGGTAGTAGGATAGCGTCCATAAGTGCACTCACCGCTTCAGAGTTCTTGATTGGAGTACTTGCTGAGGTGAGAAAATCACGAGCCCGCCATAAAGGGCCCAAATCATTGGCTAAACCGAAGGCTTGGCAAGAGTCTGTGTAACTATTAGCAGTCTTACCAGAGGCCATTTTGCACGCTTCAGTGAGTGCCTTCAACTCAGCCGCCTGTGCAGAGCAGTGAGGAGCGAGTGGTTCAGCTTTTATTACCTCATGTGCAGAGACTACAGCATATGCAGTGTGTAAATTACCCTTCTTATCAACATATCTGGAACCATCTACAAAAAACTCAAATTCTTCATTAGATAATGGAGAAACAATTACATGCAAAAAAAACCCATCTGTCTCTTGTGCCATTAGTAAAATAAAGTGATAGTTCTGTGATAAAAGGCGCTTAAAAGAAGTGGATTGCAATACAATACACAGCAAAGTGGTAGCAGCTCACACACCAAAGATAGGCACTCTCCAACCTATTAACAATCAAATGTGTACAAAAAACGCTATTGTGCAAATAAATGCCAAATAGTGCAAATTGTGGAGCGCTATAACAATAAAATGAACACTTACTCCTGTGATTCTCAGGAGATATAGGTGGTTATAAGGAAGTCCTTATACATCCATGTTAGGTAGGAAACCTCAAAATGGAAACAAAAACAGAGAAAACAGGGAAGCAATGCTAACCCTGGTGTAGAAATCCTTGGTATAATAGATGGTCAAATATAGATAACAATTGGCTTCTCACCTTGTCAGGAGCCAATAACCGGGCTCCAAGTATGCAGATGTAGTGTCAAATATAGAGTGACACAGCCCTTCTTTGCAGCAGCATGAATATATCACTAGTCCACTTGAATAAAAAATATAACATTTATTGTAAATATAACTTTAAAACAATAAAATCAATATACTCAAGTGCTAGTGCTTGGTCCAAGACGCGTTTCGCCTATGTAGTTCGGCTTTGTCAATTGGTAAATACATGCTGCAAATACAAACTTTAAATATCCCTTAGTGATAGCTAATTGGAGAATGGCGTCCGTGATACATCCAATCACGGTGCTCATGTTGGTGGGAGTATAGGGACTCAGCTGCTGATAATATTCCCAACATCGTGATGTCATCACGCACGACGACTCATGCGTGTGACATCACACGCGGAAGTAAAATCTTCGTGAAAGTCCGTCCCACATTGATGATACCTCCAAAGAGTATAGTGCTTAGTTAGAATGTCCGGAATGTCCCCTCCAGCTTCCAATCGTGACGTAGGGGTTTTGCTTCTCACGATGGGTGTCCGCCATTTTTCTTAGGGGCAATGTATTGGAAATCAATGTCCATATGTAGTCCGATGTTAGTCCAGTATCAGAAGTGCTGCACAATCATGGGATACCTGGGCGTCAGCTAACTTATCTGGTGAAAGTAAATTTACAAAAAGATCAGAAGTACAAGTACCATTCCCACTATCTCCACGCCCCTCTTTTAAATTCAGAGGAATTAATGTAGATTTAACACCATACACCTTTTCAGTGTAACATTAGGTGGCATAAGCAAGGCACATTGCATTCTGAGATGCCTTGCAGTATGCATGTGTTATGGTTGAACTTGTGACAGTATGATGTTGATGTCATGCGTTGTGTATCACTGGGTTATCTAAGACAATATCAGTGGCTTTGTCCAGGAGGGCAGTAACAGCCGCCACAGCCCTAACACATGAGGGAGCAACCCTGGCAACAGGGTCCAATCTGTTGTATACTATTGGTCTTTGTTTACCATCATGGTCCTATGTAAGGACAGATGTAGGATAATCCGATTGCTCAGTACCAAACAGGTTAAAAGTCTTTCTGTAATCTGGAAGACCCAGTGCCGGAGCTGACGTCACCAGCAAATGAAGGGTGTCAAAATCATTTTCAGCTGCATGGGTTAATTGAAATGATTTGTTTTCGATGGCGAGACAATCATACAGGGGCTGCATGTAGATTGCTGCAGAGCGAAGCCAAGGTTGGCAGTATTAAACCAGGCCCATGAATGTGGAGGGGGGGATGGGAGGGTGTAATATTTTGATCTGCAGTCTTTCTACCTTCCATGAGATGTTTTTTTGCCATGGGAAATACAATGTCCTAGGAAAATAACATTTTCTATACATGCTTGCAGTTTTGCCTTTGTAGCTTTGCAGCATGCTTGTGCCAGAAATTTGAGCAAGGAAACCGTGTGCACTTTACATGTTTCCATATCTTTGCAACAAAGGATATATATATTCGATATACTGCAATATTATTACATCATCTGCCCTTGTCCACTCTTCAAGAATTTGGGTCATAGCCATGCTGTACATAGTGGGTAAGTTCTGTGCGCCCTAGGGCAATACTGTCCAAGTGTACTGATTGTGTTTGTGTAAATGCAAATAAATACTGACTTTCGGGATCTAGGGGCACAGGAAAAATGCATTTGCCAAGTCAATAACAATAAATACCTTAGAGGAAAGTGGTATCTGTGACAACAAGGTGTGTGGGTTGGGAACATTAGGGGCAATGAGTTCAGTTACAGCATTAATTGCCCTTAAATCATGTACCATACGGTTAACCACAGGTTTCCCTTTCTCTTGCTTTTTCTTAATTGGGTACAATGGTGTGTTACAAGGGGAGGTGGTTTGGACAATTACCTCTGCTTGCAATAATTCTTGCACAGATTAGGAAATAGAATCTTCCTGTGCTGGGCTTAGGGGGTATTGTTTTTGACAGGAAAGGGTGGCTTCGGGCAGGAGATTCACTTTGACTGGGGGCACAGAGATTCTGCCTGTATCTGTCTTCCCTGTAGCCCGTAAAGAATCAGGGACTGAGGACAATTCAATGACAGGTTCTGGCACATGGCTGGGCATAGTGAGAGTTGCCAGAACATTTGAAAGGAATATCACTTGTTTGTCCTCTAAAGGCACAGACAATGCTACTTTTCCCATGGGGCTATACTGGATATTTGCATTAAGGGCAGACAGTATATCACTGCCTAGTAGATTATAAAGGCATGAGGGCTGACAAGTAGCCTTGTTACAAGGGCAGTAGAGTCATGTATCTGCCTTTTCAGTTTGTGGGTAAGGAGAATGTCACTTGGGATCCCATTTACCCCTACACATGATAATACATCATCAGACTTCTCATACAGGAACACAATTTTTCCTGTAACATTGATTTGGCAGCTCCAGTGTCCAAAAGAAAGGGACTATTTGGTCCCCGGGCAGTGTAACATTGATAATAGGTGAGGGTCCAGTTGAGTCAGGGATATTGATTGCCAATTTTCTATTGGGGAGGGGGAGGTGGTGGAGGTGTTTGGTTGTCATGGGAGCTATCATTTGAATCCTGGGGGTTTCCATTTTTAGGAGGACACCTGCAGTTGCGTTTAACGTGTCCTTTCCTGCCACAATTCCGGCAGTCTATCTGCCTTCTGTCTCCACCAGCTCTATGGACAGATAGTGCCATTAGAGGTGTGCTCATCTTTCTAGTATTTAGACTGGCTTCCACTCCCATAGCCACCTTTACCAGATCACCATAGGTTAAACTTCTCCACTCGGGTCTAGCATTTTGGAGACCAGTCCTTATGGGCATGTGGAGACCATCCATGAAGCAGTTACTAAGCAGTCTGGTGGAAGTGGTTTCAATATCTGTGTAACCCAATGCCTCCCAAGCCATCTGTAGTCTGGTGAAGAATGTTTCCACAGATTGATCTTTCCCTTGTACTAAATCTCCTAATTTATTGGCTAGTTCCTCTGTCTTTACTTTAGCCCATTCTCTCATTGCAGTGACATAACATGCTCCAGATGCAGACTTGGTTCTAAACCCTTCATCTGTTTGCATTTTGCTTTTTCTGAGGCTATTTTCATGTGCATCAGTATATTTAGCAATTATTCTAGCCCAAATGGGGCCAGCTTTTAGTGCGACAATCTGTTTTAAATCCATTCAAGTACACTGGTAAGTAGCTTGAATGGTGAATAGAGACTGGCCTAGAGCTAAGGGGGCATTTTCAACATCTGGCAGCTGCTGTATTATTGACAGTTGTTCACTGGGTGTCCAGGGCTTATATTCTTCCCAGTATTGGATACCTGAGCTCGGCTGTCTCTTCTCATGGTATACGCTCTCAACTTTGGGTATCATTTGAGTAGTAAATTGTGGAGCTAATGGCCTCACTGGGGTGTCTATTGGGGCAACTAGGGGTCCCCTTAAGTCTGGTGGACTACCCTCTTCCTCTAATGAACCCATAGGTCTTACTGGGGCTGCTGGGAACCATACTGCGTAATATTACTGGAAAGAGAGGTTTTGATTTCTGTAAAAGGGAAATTGCCTGGTCTTTAGGGACCAAAGGAGTTCCTTGCCCTTCCTGGTAAAGGGGTGCGTTTACAAGATTTTTCCCAGGATCTTGCCTACTCTGGGACCCTAGAGGTCCAAAACATTGATAATATGGTATACCTTTTCTGGTGGTTTCTCTACAACCATATTTAGTTAATTCAACTGCAGTATCATACCATTTTTGGGCGACTTCTACCGAGTGATTATCTTCTAACCAACCTCTGTAATTTGCCATAAATTCCCTCCATATATGTGGGTCTAGAGTGCCAGCTTTCTTAAGTAACCTCTTAATATTCTTATTTGCTCCTCGTCCTTTGTGATGCTTGACTATTGTAAAAGCTTTAAATCCTCCTTGAGTGCTTTGAGAGCTACCAAACTCGTAAGGGTTAATTACCTCCTTACACAAGACAAGCTGTACAAAAATAATGTATAAGACACGTAGGACCACTGCAGTGGAATTATCACAGTCTTGTCTTCGTTATTCTAAACACAGATCATTAGATCTGCCCTTGGAGGATTCTAACTCGAAATATAAAACAAATGACAAGGCAAACAATAAAAATAAACTTTAAAACTCACAGATATATCCCACTATCTCAAGATTCCTTTCACAAGACATAACACAACATTCACCTGAATATAACCATAATACCATAGAAAACAAGTTCTTTAGATCAGACGTTTTTAAAATCCTTACCCACCCGGACAGGGGTCTCAAAGAGCACCAGAGAGTGAAAATCAATTATAGGCAGAAAAATAAAAGCTATTCATCACCCGCTGCAGCTGTCTGATTAACCATCTCTCGGGCTCCGAGCCAACCCTTTCTGGGTTCGGATGGATTGGATTCGTCTGATCCCGGGCACAGCACCAAAAAGCCTGATCTATATCAGGCTTTAAGACCTCTAGCCACCAGGGAGGGGGTTGCTAGTGCTACAATTTTGGTGGTTGGAAAAAAGTATGTCCACCATGGTTGTATATTTTATTACTACCACTCATGCACCACCAAAGGCTTGAGGGAAAATAGATCCCCCCCCCACATTTATTATTTAGAGCTCCCACCACCATTTGTCCTCTCAAGTTATTATATTTAAATCCCCCACTCATTGTCAATGGGTGGGGCTGTAAGGGACAAAAGGTCCACTGGGTTATTATATTTAGAGCCACATCCGTTGCCAATGGGCAGGGGCTGGGGGAGATAATAGGTCTTCATGGGTTATTGTATTTAATTCACCTACTTGCCACTCATTTTATTTAATAGCACCCATTTGCTATGTCTTCCCTGCTTTATTTTATTAATTGCCCCACCATGGGTTTCATGGGGGTACCTAAGTCAAGCTCCCCTTTTTTGGATTAGTGAATGGGCAGCAATTACCGTTTAGTAGACATGGCCCAACCCATGACATGATGGAGGAATTGAACCTCTCATACTAATATAGGGGTCATATTGAACTCATAAGCATACTTTGTTTTAATCCCTCCCTCACACACGGCATTGAGAAATTGGAGGCAGGAGGAATTTAGGAAGCAGCGGGGAGCTCTTCTAATTTTAAATAAACAAATTACAAGGAGGGAGCAGCTTCCTCCTTGCAATTAAATGAATAAATGACAAATTGTATGAACGAAATTTCAGCCAACAAGGAATTCGATTTTTGTTTAATTTCTTGTACTCTGCATTTGAACATTTGACCATTTTGTCCAAATTTGGATGGAGACATATTGGTCTGAAAATGCTCAAGTCAGTAATTTGGGGACAGGTTCTGATGCATAAAAAGGATAAAGATAGAGGAGTGCAGGTAGAAACATGTATATAGTATACTTATAGACACTTGTTTGTCCTTTAAATGCCACCTATATACAAAAAAAAAAAGTCAAAACATAGCATAATACTGTTTGACCAAATAACATCAATAAATAGATATTGGTTTTCACTCACACTTTGCAGAGGCACATATAGTAGGCTCTAACTTTTGTCGCTCTTTTTAAAAATCCCTGGTACGCTTGACTCCACCACGCCTCCAGAT